AGGGCGCCCAGGCCTCCCAGGCCAGCGGGCTCCCTTTGGAAGCGTGGGCCTCGGCTGTTCCCACATTTCTGCCTAAGGGCTCGGGGCAGCAGGGATTCTCTCTTGTTTTTCCCATCTGTCTCTGTTCTCTCCCTCTCTCTTTCAAAAATGACTTTGCAAAGGCACTGAAATAGTTTCTTCTAGAGGTTTCTTACTCAGAGGAGCAGTTTGGAGTTAAGAATGTTCAGCAGGAACAGGCTCCAGGTGAACCTCACAGCCCAGAACTTAGTCAAAGGCTTTGATAGACCAGGGAGGGCCGTGAGCTGGAGCCTCGGCCAGTCAGCCCTAAGTGCGAATTCAGCTCTTCCCGGCAGCAAGATCCCAGGCACCTTTTATAACAACGTCTGGGAACCTCAGCCTGTCCGTCTGTAAAGTGGACGGTAATACGGTCCTGCTTTCTAGGGTCCGGTAAGCGGCTGAAGGGCAGCTGCAGGACTGTGACTGGTGTTCGCTTCCCGGTCAGGTGTTTCCTATAGTCCAGGTGGAATTAGGCTCCTATTTGTGACATCGCCAGGCCACCAGGCAGCCTCCATTTCGTGGTTCCTGTTACACAAATGAACTTTATCTGATCTAACCTGTGAGTAAGAGGGAGTTAGATAGAAGGTATAAAAGCTAACTCATGATCTGGAGGAGAGTGGCTGATATTTTAAAATGTGTTTGGAAAGCAGTCTGGGGCAGCTCTCCACAGTGTTGGTGGATGTTAATTTGAGGCCTCAGACCCATGTGTCCCTGACTGGCTGTACCGAGGCAAAGTCCCCTTGCCCGGCTCCTCCGACACTGGCTTCTGCCTGCTGGGTCATCCCACCAGGCCAGTTTTCTCATCTCTCAGTCATCTTTGCCCTGAGACTGGTCCACACCCCTCTACTGCCCAGACCACACTGTTGCCAAGGACCCTCTCATTTCTCCCTCCCCACCCTGCTTCCCTTCCCAGGCACACCGCCTGTCCCGCCTGCCCTGCAGGAGGTAGGCTTGAGACTTGATCTGCTTAGATGTCAAAGTTCTTAGAAGGTCCAGGCTGCTGACCTGGCTACTAGCCCGGGGAGCCCCCCCATCTGTTGTCCAAGGTTTGAACACACTCCAAACACAGACCTGCCCTCTCTGAGCAGGTGACACACCTGAATGGAACCCATCCTCTTTTCCCAGTTCAGGGATCTGCACTGGAAGCAAGCATCCCAGCTGATGACTAGCACTCAGGTTGAGGACTGCCTGAGGGGTCAAGACCTCAGTCCTTTCTAGCTCTAGTCAGGAACATCTTTGCCCCCCAGGCCTTATCTTCAGGGTCCAAAGGGCATGAGAGTTTTAACTTCTACCTTCTGTTGCTGGTTTAAAAGAGGAAAAGTAATTAAGAGCCATGCGTACACTAGATGACCCCAGAAAGGTTTTTCAGAGATGTGCCTTAGACAGACATTTTGTTCTCTGCTTGGATAAGAATGAACACAGCAGAAATCTCGCCTGGCAATAGGATCAGCCAGACAAGTACGCCTGCCATTTGTACTCAGACACCTGGGATCAAATCCAGCCTCTACTGAGCACCAGCTGCCTGGGTTGGACAAGTTACCCAGCCTTTCTACACCTCAGTGTCCCCATCTGTAAATAGGGAGTGTTCTCATAGGAGGCTGTGGAGATCAAATGCTAGGCTGACTTACAAATGCTGAGCACAGGGCCTAAAGCCTAGTACACAATAAATGCTACTAATACCAGCATCAAAAAAATAATAATATGGCATCCACTGTGATCATGACTTAAAAATATATATATTCTGGCTATATCTTCAGGTGAGGGCTCTTATTGATAAATAAATCCCCACAGGGACAGCAGTGGACAAGGGGGANTGGATAAGTTACCCAGCCTTTCTACACCTCAGTGTCCCCATCTGTAAATAGGGAGTGTTCTCATAGGAGGCTGTGGAGATCAAATGCTAGGCTGACTTACAAATGCTGAGCACAGGGCCTAAAGCCTAGTACACAATAAATGCTACTAATACCAGCATCAAAAAAATAATAATATGGCATCCACTGTGATCATGACTTAAAAATATATATATTCTGGCTATATCTTCAGGTGAGGGCTCTTATTGATAAATAAATCCCCACAGGGACAGCAGTGGACAAGGGGGAAGAAGCTGGCTGTGAAACAGGGAGAGCATACTCAGCTTTGCTTTCTGTGCAGACACTGGTCAGAGGAGAAACCACCCGCTCCGAGCAGCTCGCACAGTCCTGCTTTCCAGATCTTTCCCGGGAAAATGATTTGAAAACTCATGTCTTTCATCTATATAGTTGGTGCTCAATAAACACCTAAGGAAAGGAATTCTTTAAGTATCCAGTGTGGTCTGAAGAATGGGCTGGACAAAAATACAAATTAGTCTCTCACTGGCTTAGGGTTTTCTCACTTAGCAACTGCTTCAGTATCAGGATTTAGAGCAAGTCAATCTGTTCATTTGTCTCTAAATTATTAAAATAAATGAATGCAAATTATCTCCACTTATTTAAGCTTTCCAAAAGATGCACATATAGAAACGAGAGACAACCCTGAGACATTTGAAAAAGGCAGGGCAGGGCCAATCTATCAGCTGTTAAAATGCAACCCTTACCAGTGGGGTGTCTGAAGTCATCAACTGCTCTAAAGAAACTACACTTCAAAAGTTTTCAGTTCCTGGGTAATGGAGAAAAGGCCCTTTTTACTATTATGTCCTTTGTTTATTTTCTTTCTCCCCTGAGAGCTTCCTGTTCACTCCTCTAAAATGCTTTCTAGAGCTTGGGGCTGAGAAAACACTTCCTTAAAAGAAAATTCAGATGTGTTTGTCTTTGGATGGTCCCTGTGGTTGGGCGCAAATCTATCCTGGGATTCGGGAGGCGCCCCCCAGGCCCAATCCCCAGGCTTTCCAAGGTGCACAGGCAGAGTGGGAAATTCCGGACCTCACGTGAACAAAGAGAAAAAGGGGCCAAGTTCTACTGTCCGGAATCATCCAACTCAATGTTGGTCCTGACTTCTCTTGCAGAGCTCCTTGCAAAGACTGGTGGCTGTTGTACTGAAGTAGCCCGGGCTGATGGTTATGGCACGTTTCAGAAGGCAAGTTAAAACCTGCCACCTCTCTAAAGTGGCAAGGAAATGTGGAACTACGGAATGGGCAAGAAGATTGCCAGTCAGCTGTGCTGCCGAAGAGCCAACACAGTGCAAGATGATAAATTTGCACTTCTCGGCCTGAACACTGCAGGTTTTATACATCTGAAGTCGGGGTGACAGCTTTTCTATATCATGTAGTAGTCAGGATTTTTAATGGTTGATAGTTGTATGTTGGAGTCCACTTGTACTGGCTTTTGAGAGCTGATTGTATCTCTCTCCAACTCTCCATTTAGTGACATAAGGCTGGTGGCTAAAAATCAGTCATGCGGGTGGGAGGAAGATATTTACACCACGGAAATCGGCAAATGCTACAAAGCAGGGCTGCTTTTTTCTTCTTCTTGGAGAGCCAGCAATTAAACATTTACCAGCATGTCACTGATTTCATAATATTCATTTTATTAGCCACCATCATTTGCTTAATGAAGCCGTTTGCTATCCAACATCTAGTTAGTTTCTAAATGTTTATGACTGTAATAGATGCATTTTGCTGAATGCAGGGGTTTGGTGTGTAGCTATGATCGTTTGCTTAGGAAATAGTCCTAGGAGTGGAATTAGACTAGATTAGGAGCTGTGAGCATTTGAGGGTCCCCTGATGCTGGGGCCAACCTGTTCCAACTACATTCCCAGGAACAGAAGCCACCAGGTCCCCACGGACAGGCTCCCAGCACATACCTGTGGGCACTTGGCGGCACTGTAGCAGTCCCCAGCTGTGGCAAAAGGCACGGGATGCCCTTCGCTTGTCTTTGCAAACTGTAGGTCAGTGGCTGTTGAGTTTAGAGAAGATTAAGGGGAGAAGAGAGGTGACAGTGGGAGAAAGAGTCAGGGAAGGGACAGGGTATTAACAAGGAGAGAGAGGGGAATAAGAACAGTAAAAGAAACAATAAGAGGGAGTGGGAGAAGGGAAAAAACAAAGTACGATTAGTGAGCAAACGGATCCAGATGTGTTCTGGCTTTTCCCTCACCACGTTGCGGTTCTGAGAGCCTCGCCCCGGGTTTTATCAGCCCTGACTGTCTCCTCACAGCACGGAAGCCCAAAAAGGCAGTCTGAGAGCACTGTGGAATCGATTCCGATATAAATAAATGCATGAGCCACCTCGCTTAAAGGTATGTAGTGGGGTGACCCTGAACCTCCTGCACACGGTCAGTCGCTGAGGCTTCGGGACTAGGGGAGCAAGTCAGGGAAGCGATTCCAGCGACTGGGGAGTTATTCCCTGAGGCTTCATCTGTCCTCCCGTGGCCCAGGCATGATTATTGCCAAAATGTGGAGCAATTAGAACCCACATCTTGAAAGTATTAATGGCAACCTCCCAAGTTTGGGGCTAACTTGTAGTTTTTAAAAAAAGCCAATAAAAACAATGCTCATGTTTTTAACTGTCTTGTAGCTCTTGAGACCAGCTCTGGGAATGGGGAAGGCGGGTCAGGAGACAGACTGAGAATCCCACAAAAGCTGTCGTGGCGCTGGTGGGCCTGGAGGCCGGAGGCAGCTTTTTACCTTTTTGCCTTGTGCTTCTGGAGTCTTCCTGCAGTTAACCACATTTTGGTGGGAAGGAAATCTGAGTGTCCAGGGGCCCTGTCAGAAGCCCTGGGTCTTAGCTGGGGCTTGGGGGGGG